TCTTTCAGGTAGGAGTGAGTTTCAGGTTGCACGTTTGATTTGGCAACCGGCTTGATAATGCACCCGCCTGCACGCTTTCTTTCCCTATAAGACGCTATAAGCCTCTTCAGCCTTTCTCTGAATAGTTTTGATCGCTCCGTAGAAGTTTTCGCACTACTTGAGGTTAATGTATTCGAATCAGCATCATTCTGCACTGGAAGATCTTTTGTCAGGTAGGAGTAAATTTCAAGTCGCTGGTGCATTATTTTCTTCCTCTCTCTCCATTCGTGGTTACGTTGTACGCTTGATTTTGCCCCTGCCTTAATAATACACACGCCTGCGCGCTTTCTTTCCCTATCATTTCTGCTCCGCTCTGCGTTAGTTAGGCTATTCAGCCTTTCTCTCCATAGTCTTGATCGCTCCGTAGAAGTTTTCGCATTACTTGAGGTTGATGTATTCGAATCAGCATCATTGTGCATTGAAAAATCTGCTGTCAATTCGGAGGCAGTTTCATTAACCACTGCCAGATCTTTCATCATAGAGGAGGAGGATTCATTGTGTTGTTCTGACTGGTATTTCTCGTCAATTGGAAGATCTTCTGTTAAATCGGAGACAGTTTCATTCTGTACTGGAAGATCCTCTGTCAGGTAGGAGTCAGTTGCATTATGCTTTGAAAGATCATTCTGTTGTTGCTGCTGTTCAAACTGCAATCGCTGGTCAATAGCTAGCGCTTTGGCCCAATAATCTCTGGCTTGCGCTGCTGGAGTGTTTGCCCTCCACAACCTAAATTAATTATTTTATTGAAAAACAAAAAATCATTTTTAAATGTAAATAATTACAAGAGAGAACAAAATAAAGATTAGATCCTCTCTAAAACCTTTACTTTTATACTTTTACTTTTTACTCTTGAAATTGCTTATAGCAGTTGTTGCGTCTAAAGAAATTCTTAAACGGCAGTAGTGCCTTGAAAAATCGCCAGAACGACCCAGATTCATATCTGGTCGCCCCTCGGCAGGCAATGACAAACCTCTGGTTGTATTCTGCCATGAAAAACAGCTTCTAATAAAAATACAATCGCCGTTCGGAGTCGGCGTAGAACTGTAGCTCCCTCCTCTTCATGTGACAACATCGAGGCGCATGCCACAAATCGGAGAAGAAGCTGGCCAAACACTAATATATTGTGTAAGTGTCAAACTAGTATTTTACCGAATAACTTTGGACCGATCATGGGAGAGTGAAGAAATCAAAGGTAATCCTAAAGTTTCATATGAGCAATGAAGTCGGTTGCCCTTTTTTCAACAAAAAATTACAAATAAAATCGAATCCTACAGGTGCTGAATAATGATTAATGATTCGGTTTCAGGATCTTAACCACGGGCCACGTTCAGACATGATCAACTCTCAATGATTAGTCTCAAACTTAAGCAGAATTATACATAGTTTCTGAGGTGTTGTACTAATCTTTCTATTGTTCTCTCTTGTAATAACTTATATTTATAAATGATTATCGTTTTTTTTTTTCAATAAAATAACTAAATTAGGTTAAGAAATACAAACATTACGATGGATCAGAGAGATGACAGGGAGAGAAAACGAGGGATTGACCGGCAATTCGAATCAGACTTCGACCCAAGAATGATAGAATACAAGACTGCACCAATCGAGCTGAGAGCAACCGGGCGTGACGTCATCAAATACCAGAATTAGAGAGCGAAGACGAACTGTACTGTACTGTAAGGAAGACGATGCAAATTAATATGTTTTTGTTCGAAGGTCGATTTCTCCTGGCATGATAGAAGGTGCTGCCACATATTCACTTACGATTGCTATAAAGTTTGCTTCCATTGTTTTAAGATTTACAAATTTGGTGTCTTCAAACTAAAACCAAAAGCACCAAAAACGCATCAGAAAACAAACTCAAAAAATGTTCGCGTTTTGAATACGCTCTAAATTTAGTGCGAAAAGCACCAAGTTGGCAACAGTAAATGTAAACCAAAGTATTGTGTGACGTCAGGTGGATGCTGACAAATCTACGAAAGAGGGTCAGCGGTCCGCGAATGGCGCCACCTTCATTTTCTGCATCGTTGCTTCGACCTACTAGAAGGTATTAGTTGTGTTTTTTTACAAATTATCCAGTAACTTGCCAGTAACTCTCCAGTAACTTTATTTCTAAGAATTCGCTCTCATAGAAAAAATTTGCAAAAAAATACGCGAACGCTTTTCCAGTAATAATTTGCAAGTTTCATGAACAGCTGATAAATTGGTTGTTTATTCGCAGCATATTCCCAATAAAACGATATATTTTATATTTAAATATGTTTGTTTTGAAAATTTCCACAATAAAAATCCACAAACAGTTTCCTTATTAGTTTAAATTTCATACAGCAACATGCGATCAGCTGTTTTTCGTACTGGCAAATTCTTACAAGTAAAAATTGAATTTTACTGGAAATGAGTAAAAAAAACGCAACTATTGCATTGCAAAAATTATGTTAGTCCATAAGGAGAAAGAAAACGCCACTTGCCGAATGAATTACTAATTCAAAACTGCGACAGTACTACAAAAGAAAGGGGAAAAACTAACGCCGATACATAGCAACGGTAATTCTTATTCATTATTAAATTCAAGCTAGTGCTCCCGGAACTACTTTCATGCCCATACTCCAGGCTTTCATAATTAAGAAAATAAAAAATTAAAAAAAAAAATAAACGAAAGTTGTATTGGGAAAAACCCTGAGTTTTCTTCTAAGATATCTCCATCAATGTCATCTCTACAGGTAAAGGAACTTAAATACTATGAATACTACCAAAGTTGGTACTTACATGCTAGCATTTTGCGCTTGCTGACGTGCATATTGCTGTTGCAATTGCTGCGCACGCTGTTGTTCGGTAGGAAGGAAGCGTCCTGGTCGTTGTTGTGCCGACGCTACACCTTTGTTCAATACCCGTGGCATACCGAGTTGTTGTTGTTGTTGTTGTTGTTGATGTGGCGCTGCTGCAGTAGAAGTCTGAGAACCCTGCGTTAAGGACGTCTGCAGAATGCCCGTGCTGCCACCAATGCGATAGGTGGAAACACCTGTTGTTGTAGGCATGTTGTTATCTGTGTTCACTGGCCGCTGCGGCGTCACCTTTTGGACACAACCACGTCGTGCATTCATAGCGGCAGCTACTGCTGCTGAAGCTAACGCCGAGTTACCAGTACGCGTTTCCGGCGTACTATTTGGTTGTCGTGGCGGTGAAGACGGCGGTGGCATTTGGCTGCGCTGTGGTGATGTGGTTACTGGAAGATGACTACCCGATAGATTGCTAACTGAAGAAGCATCCGAACCGCGTTTACTAGGGACATACACTTGTAAGCCGACAGCACGCGTTATTTTAACGGGCATTATGAATTGTGAGTTCTTTGTTTCGATGTCCTTCAACACGCGATTGTGTACCATTTCCAAGTCACGAAATTGTTTGGAGATTTCGGCGATTTTCGCTCGATGCGCTGTTATTTGTTTTTCTTGCTTGTCGATGAGATCGCGCATTTCGGCGAACTCACTTTTGTGTATGATGGCTTCGACCACTTTCTGTAGCACCAGTTCTTCCAAGTCTGGTTTCGTAAGGTTATCGAAATTCTTACGAAAACGTTTCAGGAAATCCAAACTCAATGAAGGTGAATCGGAAGTATTGAATTTCGGGGCAGGATATAGAGGTATTGGAATGTCGGTACCGACAGCACGCAACTGTGGCAACCCCTTGCTCACTTCAAATTTCTCATCCAACTGTTTCAATTTCGAGTCGCTTATGTCAGCCACAGCCTTTTCAGGCACAACTACTACACAACTTTCAGTCACTTTTACATCCTCGGATTTTTGTAACGCCTCGGTGGTTGCTGGTTCTTCCATTTTTGACTTTTTGTTAACCACTTCCACCAAAGCATCATCTTTGGACACATCAGCACTGTTCTCTTCTAGAGACTCGTGTGAACGCTTTACTGCAATAGTTGCTTGCACGCCCAATCCTTTTTCGGTATTGTCAGCATCATTGCTATCCTCGCCGATTTTTACTACTTCAAATACTTCTTGCTCATTTTTTGCTGAGTCGCCAGATTTGTGGCTGCTCCGTGATTCTTCGGTTTGTTCAGCTTTCATACTTTCGTCAGCATCAACGCTCAGTCGGATACGTTTAGCGGGGGGTACGGATTCTTTTTCTTCACCAGCGGCGCAACTATCGTCTTCAACCAACTCAATGGCACTACTGCTCTCTGCATCATCGCCATCATCATCGTTGTCTGCCTCATCGGCCGCATCAGCATCCTCTTCGCCGGGGCTACCCGTATCTGGTTTTTCTATGGTTTGTGTCTCTTGTAACAAATTGCTGCTGCTGCTGCAGTTGCTGTTCGTCTCATCAACAGCATCTGATGACTTTGATTTGGTTTCATCATCCTTTAATAGAGCAGCGGATTTATCGGTTTCAAATTTGTCGCAAGCGTTATCGGAATTATCCGATTGTAATTCTGACTTTGTCTTATCGGCTTCAGAAGCATTACTTTTTAATTCAGTTGTTGTTGTTTCGCTTGCTTCTCTGGATTCTTTTGATTTCATTTCATCTGTTGTACCTTCTGTCAATCCTTCGATTTTAGCATCTTCTCTTTCTGCTGTTTTTTCAGCAGTAGTCTTGTTTTTTGTTTCCGCCTCCGCCTCCTCGTCCTCATCATCGAGCAGCAGCACGACATCGTCGTCTTCATCGACTTCCATGTGTTTTGCAACCGTTTCCGCTGTCGACTGTTTTGCATTACTTTCATCTTTCGATTTTGGTTTCTCATCAACTTTCTCTCCTGCTTCAACAACGTTTTCATCCTTTTTCTCGTTCTCCGGTTTGCCGACAAAAAAGACTATATCGTCGTCGGAATCATCTGCATCCGCAGTCTTGCTTTTAGCATC